AGTGGCGGTGGCGGTGGTGGCGGCAGCGGTGGTGGCAGCGGGGGCGGCGGTGCACCGGGAATCGCCGGGATCTGCGGACCACCGACCGCGTCCCTCGCGCCGACGGATTACGTGACGGCGGCATGCTATCCCCCGGGATCGCAGCTCACCCTGACCGCCACACACCCTCAACCCCTTCACGTCGTTGATACCGCGATGACGCCCACCTCGGCGCCGATGCCGACCCCGACGTCGGCATCGGGCCCCAACAATCCCGTCGCCATGAGCCAGCTGGGGACCGTCTACGCCACCAAGAGACGGCGTCGGAACGGAAAGAGGTCGGTGCAAGTCCGTTAAATCGATACGAAGTCGAAACGAGAACGTCATTCTGCGGCTCAGAAGCGGAAGATTGCCGTTGTATGCAATGATGTAGGATTTTTCGGTCTCCTTAACTCTCTGATAATGAGTCGCAGAATAGTTCTCGTTTTTTTTTTTTTTTTTTTTTTTTTACTAGGATAATGCAATCAGACACATGTAAGCACTTGAGAATATATCAGATTGTGACATAACTCAAATTATTGCGTTACAACACGACCAAGGACTTTGATCAGAGACACATCTCTGTCTCGTACGTATGAATGTGAAATATATACAAGTCAAAAGAGACTCTTACGATGTTACGTGTTAAAAACTGATGAATGTTTGACAAATTTCTTGATGTATGTAACTCGATCTAATTGGAGAACGTGTTCTTTAAGAGCGATGTGAGAGAAAAACGAACTCGAAGATTAGCTCTCTGAAAGAGCTCGTAAGTATCGCAGTTTTGTGGCGCATATATAATTCACGCGTTCAAAGTCGGTGCTAATGGGGGCGAAACCGAGCGTTCGTACGTAAAGTTGTGCGTTCGCTCGTAAAGTTAACCAGTCGACGACGACTGATTCATACTGACGTAGTATACTTCATTCAGCTGAACGGTCGCGAGTAAGCTTTTTTCATGTATGGTTCGGCACACATTATTAGCCGATTCTATTTGATATCTATTATCGTACAGACGACAATAGTCATTATGTTGAGTAGATATATATCGCAACAATATATATATATATATATATATACGATCTATGGTAAGAGCTGAAAATTCTCAGAAATTCTCCTGTCGCCTGTGTGATCTTTCATTTTTCCTTCAACGTTTTGAAATAAGCTTTAAAAAAATCGAGTTTTTTTTTTTTCACAAGCGCGTGATCTCAAAATAACATTTTTATCGCAAAGAAAGTGTCTGTCTCCTTCGCGACAAAACGATTTGCAACGGTGCAATAAATAGGATGCGCGTGATCGCAAAAAGCTCGTCGTTAGGTCCGTAATGTTGCGACTGATGACCGGCAAAATTGCAGGTGTACAGGTCGCTACGGCGAATGTCGTTTTCTATGCACACGCGGTGAATTAGGTAGAAGCCTGTGAACGATCATTTGTGATTTGTCGGGCGATACGCGGTTACGTATTAACAATGAACAGGGGACTGAAATAAGATGCGCGGTCGCGTGTTTGTTTGTTCTGAAACACGTGTAGATATCGAGAGAGAGAGAGAGAGAGAGCTATTTTTCTCTCGCATCGGAGAGCTGAATATGATCCCGCGTTTCTTTGTTCCTTCTGTCTCACGCCAATTTAGGCGTTTTCTAGACGCAGCCAGCAAGTTGGCGTTTTTACACGCGCGACTATATTCGCGAGAGAGGAAATTTTAATCCAATATGCCTATACGTACTTGCGGCACACGCTTCCACGTTATTGGCAAATCGCTTAGACGGTTATTTGCTTTGCAATATCGTTACAAAACACTCCGAGCGCAATTTAACTCGAATGCAATTTGTTCGGAGAGCAATTTGCGCGCGTTAGTTTAACAAAAATTCAAATCGAAGTTATTAATTTAGTAGATTCGTTTTTTTTTTGTTTCAACTTCTCCACACGTGATATTATTTCACATGTTATACCAAAGTCGAAGTGGCTGAGTTGGATTGATGATCGGTATCTTCAAAGTTTTGTTACTTTTAATCAGGCTCGCGTGCGTTAATGGAATTAAGATTGGCAGCACTTGTAATAGGAATGCAGTTCTCCGCTATTGTTCCGCGCGCAGTTCGGTAGCTTGATCGCTTTGAAGAAGTGTCTGTGCGAACAGAGCAAACATGTAGATGATCAGAACAAATAATCACTTGAACTTTCAGCTCTTAGACACTTTTTGCAATTATTTTGACAGATTTATTTTCTATCCGCAATTCGGAGATTCTATTTCTCCGAGTTCTTCTCGATGTCTTGCAATAATAATAATATTTAAATTAAAAAAAACATTTACGCGCAATCTCAATTTGTGACATTTGACAAAACGTCACAACACACTGGCGCGCGATCGAGTGAAAAAGAAAACGGACATCAGTGTTGCTCCATTAGTAAGCCGTGCGCGTCGGCAAACTTTTTCATCTCCTCGCCTCGGGATCGCGGTCGAAATATCGCACGGACGTTGCTTGAGAAATTAAGGCAATCCGCACCAATCTGGTAAGCTCTTAATCCCCTCGCGAGACGACCCGCAGGTGCTTCTTCGTTCTTTTTCGTTCGCGTATACGATGTGTGCGTCTCGTGTACGTGAATCGCGAGGGGGTTGCGCGAGACTCGTTCGAGGTATCAGAAAAGAAAGCGCGTGTAGGGTAGTCGTGCGCTAAGCCGACAGAGATGGAGCGGACTGGCTGATTGCGTGGAAGCGGAAGACCGAGATCTCGCAAGAGTGTCTCGGGGACTCTCTCTCCTGAGTCTTCCCCGGACTCTTCGCGAACTCTCTTCCGCAACCTTGTTAACCTCGGAATGAATCCGCGCCGATGACGCGCCGCGATCTCCAAGAGAACGACTCGCCGCGAACGATCTCAAGGCGAACGTGTGCGAAGGCTAGCCACTGATACGTATATACGGGGTACGACCATTAACTTCAACCACTCGACGACTCCGGTGCGTTTCTGTGTGTGCCCACTTCGAATGTCTTCATAAAGTGTAGCAAGGCGCAGAAGGCGTGATTTATCTGCTGAATTAATTTTTCAAGGTCGCGCCTCTCGGAGCTGCGCGAGGATGTTTTTTTTTTTTTTTTTTTTTATTAAGAATCACGCGTTTTTTCCGACTCGAGGAAAACGCGCTTGACGATCGCGTGCTTTGAGAAAGACGGCGTTTCACGAATGTTTGCGAATTCTGAAAGATATTGTGTGCGATTGTTCGATTTTTCAAACAGACAAAACGCGCGTTAATAATCGCGTGTCAGCTTTTTTTTTTTTTTTTTAATCTGAGAACCGTGAATTCTTTTCCAAGCGATGCGCGCGACGACCCCAATAGTTCGCCGAGGTTGAAGACACGGGTTCTTTCCTCCCTCATAGCTCCGGGACCGACGTGTCACGTTGAGTAATCGGACCGAATCCTTTCCCAGTTCCGATCCTTCCACGGTGAGGAACGTACCCCGTGATCGCGCGAGAATCACGAACGGGCGTAATGGAGTTTTAAACGGTCGTTCGAGGCATACGATCTTCCTTCCCCTCGAGTCGCATCTTTGATACGATGCAACGAGGGGAAGAACGCCGGGGGAGGGAGGGTGAGGAAGCTGACCGGAGATGCTCTTTCTCTCTTTTTGCGCCAGATAATGCCCGCGGGGTATCTCAGGCTGGTTCGCTCGTTCCCCGCTTCTTCTTCTTCTGCAACCTCAGCTCCTTGGGATCGGACAAGTCCTTCCCTCGGGCACCGCCGGTCCTAGGCGAATGCACCTTGGCGAATATATACCCGAGTCTAGGGGCCGTCATTCCGCAAATTCCGCCGGTTCCGTGGTGCGAGCAGTGCGTGTAGCTTTGTTTCTCCCGATTCGCGAATAAATTATTGAGAAGTACGACGCGATCGCAGCTTCAACTGCTGTGTTTGTAACCGATGTGCACGTCATTTATTAATATTGCTGCGTGTGTGTGTGTGTGTGTGTTTCAATATTAGGGTTTGCGTACAGTTTAACATTGTCTTGACGTCGCGCGATGTGTAATTTTCAATAGTACAACAGATAATAATAACAGTTTTCAAAATTTATACGCGAGGTTAAAATTGAGAATGTGCAGATTCCTGACAAATCTTTAGCTTCGCTGGCATCTTTCGCTTTCTCTCTTCTCTTCTCTCGCCCGCCAATTATCTTTGCCTCGAAAATCGCATCATGATCTTCTTTGACAGCTACTTAACTCTAACAACAAGTACCACGCAGCGCGCGGAAACAACTTTCGGTGCAACAACTTCGACACCGAAGTTGCGCGCCGTGCGGAACATTCGGGCCGCGGGGGTTGTCAACGTCAAGAGAACTTTATCGCTAACGATCGGACGTGAAGTCCGCGCTGTCGAGTTTCCCTAAAAATCCGCCGGCTTCGGGGAAGAAGCCGGGGCGAGAACGCAGCGCGATGCTGCGTTGTAGCCTAATGACAGCAGCTTCTATAATTTGGAGTTTTTGAGCGAACGGCCAAATTACCGACGCAGGGAGGGATTACTGTTATTACACGCGGCCGCGGACTCAGTCGAAACCTGATTATACTTCAGTCAGTCTCTCTCGCCCGATCTTGACCCGTTCGTTCGACTGTCAGCTCTACGCTCTCGTTCGCCTCTCTTCTCGTTTCCCCTCGCGCATCCTCTCCAAACGATCCTTTAACCACGCAAATCGCGCTTTGCCGCCGCTTTTGCTCTCCGAAAGCGCGATCCAGCATCTCGCTCATTAGATATCCGCGACACACATCGACGGTCGTTTGTAAAAAATATTTTTACAAGAATTCCGCTATTTGCGATGTAATCCAAGATTCTGGAACTATTAAAAAATTCAAGAGAATAAAAACTTTTATTTTTAATATAGTCTATAAAATATTTTATTTTCCAAACGCGGGGAGAAAATGAAAAAAACTTTCGCGCGAATTAAAGAAAAAATAAAAGATCTTTTTATAGTCAGGTCGAGAACTTTTGTGATATCCTACACTACGTACGTATTTTTCAATTACGACAAGAGGAAGAGACAGAGAAAGAGAGTCGAGAGTTCTCAATGAGTATTGTGTTTGCAAGTTACACGCCGCAGAACCATTCGGCCCCGAGGTCGATGATTTCTTGATGGACAGCTGCCCGGGTTTCGGCTGATTAGTTCTTAAGTAATTGCCGCGCATCCTTACGGTCTTATAACGCGCGTTTATAGCCTTGTAATGAACCCGCTTCTGAGACCTTTGCTCCATTCAACCAGCCGAGGACCGAGGCCTTCGAGGCGTGTAGAGATTTTTCGTTCGCCCATTAAGCGCAACGCGCGCGCTCG